GTAGTATGTAGAAGTAGTATAAATCATTAGTATAAATATAAATCATCACAAATATTCTTCGGTTTTGTCCACGATATTGTTTTTTTAAAGCACTGTCGTTGACTGCTTCTTCCCATCAACGTAATTGATTCTGGGTAAAAATGGTAGTTTCCAGATTGTCTTCTTTTGGATACTTGTCAGTTTGGTTAGTTCAAATAGGGCTGAGTCACTGGGTGAAAAATAACTTCAGTTCGATTCAGGCCGAGTCTGAGGTTGATGCTCAGGCTGATTCTTTGGTTGAGGTTTGGGCTTAGGTTGAGCTTCATCTCTAGGACGCAGCCGAATTTAAAGTAACGCTTTGGCTACCCATGAGGAGCAATTCTTTTTCTGGAGCAGTGCGAACCACTGCAAGATCTTCCGCTGAGATTAAGCACTTGAAGAGGACATGTTTAATTTGGTGCTAATCAGCATATTGTCATCTCTGCATTTTGGAACGGATCAACTCCAAGGGATCACATCCCAAGCTGAAGTTGAGTTATGAAGTGGTCATTGAGTTCAGTTTCAAACGATTGGCTTCTCACCAGACTGCCAGCATAAGATTTTTACTGGCTTGGAATTCTTAAATCCAAATGGCCTACGTCACATTCACAAATCGAGGCGCATTCATTTACATGATTACATCTTGAAATTCTTTTTGAATTATCTCTGCCAGAACTCGAATGCTGAGCTCAAGCAGTGAAAGTCAGGGGGCACCTCTCGAGTTCAGTCTGTCGAATTTATCGAACTCCAGCTGACTTTGACTCTTCGGTGGTTTATGGTGATTTAAAGGATCTGCTCTGCAGATATACAACTGGGNTTCACCTTACCAATTTTAATGTGATATAACTTCAACCTCTACTTGGTATGGAATGACCTTCGTACTCATTAAGATGGATAAAATTAATCTTGATTCGAATTACAGAAGTTTTCATAAGAGCAACTTTCAGCATGACTCGAACTTAAGTTCGTCCAAGGGTTGATTCGCTCTCAAAATTCCCAATCACTGCGTGTTAATGCAGTAAGAAGCAACTTCATTCTTCCAGTCTTCAATTTGTTTATTATCAAAAAATGACATTTTATGATAGTTGTGAGAACAGTCAACGTGTCATGGGATCCAAAGCCAATGTTACGTCTGTTGGGGCGTTTTTATCAGTGGCGTTCTTCATTCATAAATATGAGCACCCAGTTTACCTCAACATTACACCGTTCAGTACACCAGTTGATATGCACACCTGGATTGGACGACTGCAGGAATTGGTCAGTTTGTAAACTCTTACATAATTTGTCTGACTGACATTATTACACAGCGTCACCACAAATGATAAAAAAACTTAACTACCCTTATTTGAATATCAAAATTAAACGCTTCAGTTCAACGCTTTGTCAGTAAACACGAATCTGACGGAAATGGTTTGGTTCATGGTAAGGGATAAGCATCTGCTTCACAAGGACAAGCGATTCGTTGAAAACTGTAACAAATATAAGTTGACCAAGCTCCATTCGGGTTAACCATCATACAATCCCCGATGTTCGCTGGCTGTCCTGGTGCCCAATTTGTGTAATTCAGTGCAGCTCCATTTGTCCATTGCCACGACGAATTAACGCTATCACGTGTAAGCCCTGTTGCTATTGGCACACGCTCTCCAAACCATTCTGTAATGAGATTGCGGTAAGCTGCTTGGTAAAATTTCATTGAGTCGTTCAGTTCTAGCTGCGATAATCCGATCGAAAGGAGCCCAAATAAAAAATTTCGTGTCAATTTCTAGAACATCGAAAGTAAAAAGTTGCTGTGAATTATCAACTTTTATGACATTCATGACGTTTTGCCTAGTAATACAGATCAAAGTTTTGATTTATAGATGATGTAAAGTTGCTCGAATAATAGTTGGCATTACATAACGTGCGATCATTTCTGAGAAATAATGTAAACATGGCTGTCAAGTATTAAGTCAGATAAGGGCCTGAAGTAAGCGTGAGCTCAAACATGGACTTCTGTACTGCCCTCTGCACTTGGAACATATCGCACAGAACATATCTCAGCGCTCCCTTGGTAAAGCACTGAAATGCACCTGACCTCGAATCACAAAATCTAATGTTGCAAATTTAGAAGACATCTGATTTCCCGTCAGATGGCCCTAATATCTCGGAGACAATGAGGTATTTTCCAATCCGAAATGTAGTTGTTCTTTTCTCGTGAGAACATTTAAAGCNAAGAAAAAACTGTGCTTAAACTGAAATAAAGTAAACGTTCAAATCACTTCAGCAATTTCAATGGATTGAATAATAGTCTTCCTAAGTGTTTTTACATAGTTCAGACTGTTGTATTGCTATGTTTATGTGTTACAGATTAAACTTGAACACTGTGCGTGCGTTCTATGCAGTTCAAAGCGCAAATATTAGAAAAATTTCAAGGATGTTAGGATATCAGCGTACAATAGTGCATTATATAGTGTTGTCAAATTAGGTGAATGCTTCATTTAGCAGAACTTCTGACATTCTTACCAGTGTATAACATTTGTTGGTTGCTCGATTATATTTGATGTTAGAAGTGAAAGATGGACATGGATTTAGATCTGAATAAGATTAAGATCAAGTGAAATAAGTCATTCCAGTTCCTGTTCTAAATTATCTGTGAGACGAATTCCATCAAGCAGAAGTTTCATTGAGGGTCTTTATTACACTCCTTTGAGACTTCAGAAACGACTGAAGAACAAAGTCACAATTTACACGAATTATTACTGACTTTCTCAGCG